GAGACTGTTAGTTGCTTCTTTGCACGCCATGAGATAAGATTAGAGCCTAAAAATACCGCAAACCCTGTGGTAGAGTGTCGACTATCAAGACAACCAGCCCAATCAGCATCCGAATAGGCTAATATAAAAGAGGTGGATGAGGAAGCACGGAAGAACAATCCATGTGTGATGGTACCCTGTAAATACCTGAAAATGTGCTTCACACAATGCAAATGAGTAGTACGTGGAGCATGCATAAATTGTGAAACAATGTTAACATCATAGGCAATATCTGGGCGAGTCATAGTTAAGTATTGAAGAGCGCCAACCATACTCCTGTATTCACTAGGATCTGAAAGTAACTCACAATCCATAATAGAAAGAGAAATGCGAGAAGCAATAGGGGTGTGAACCGGTTTGCATGTATGCATGTGAAATTTAAGAAGCAAATCAGAAATATACTTTTGTTGTGACAGATGAAGACCATTAGAAGAACGAACTGCCTGAACACCAAGAAAGTAATGAAGATCACCTAAGCCTTTCATGACAAATTGTCTAGAGAGACGACTAATGAAGTGATCAAGAAGAGAAGAATGACTACCAGTAAGAATAATGTCATCGACATAAAGTAATAAAATAAGAATACCAGACAATGAACGATGAATGAACATGGACGTATCTGATTTGCTGCAAATAAAATCATGAGAAATGAACTAAAGCGATGAAACCAAGCACGTGGTGCCTGCTTAAAACCATAGAGCGCTTTAGTTAGCTTACAAACATGACGAGGATAATCAGGATGAGTAAAACCTGGAGGTTGTTTCATAAAGACTTCCTCATTAAGAACACCATGCAGAAAAGCATTTTTAACATCAAGTTGACGAATAGGCTAAGAAAAAGAAACGGCAAGAGAGAGGACAATACGAATAGTGGTAGCACGAACAACAGGACTAATATTTCATGATAATCAATGCCAAGTTGCTGATGAAATCCTTGTGCTACAAGTCGTGCCTTGTATCAACTGACCCATCTGAATTACATTTAATATAATAAACACATTTACAACCAACTAAGTTCATGTGAGGTTGAAAAGGAACAAGAACCCAAGTATTATTTGCTAAAAATGCATTAAACTCATCTGCCATGGCCTACTGCCACTTCGAACTTTTTACTGCCTGAGAAAAACAAGAAGGTTCAATTTCATGAATAATAGTGTTCAAAGAAAAATATTTGTTTTGGTTTCGAAATACTAGACTTGGAGCGAGTGTGCATTGAATGAGCAGGAGGCATAGAAGTAGGAGGAGAAGCGGTGCTAGTTGGCAGTGAGGTAGGTGCAGAAGAAGAGAGAACATTAGAGCAACACTCGGTAGGAGAAACGTTGATGGACACATGATCCGTAGAGCTGGATGTCGGGCACGGGGAAGAAACACAAGAGGGAGGTGGAGAAGACGACGTAGAAGGAGACATACTTGACTAAGATTGGGTATCGAGCTGCAAAGGTGATAAAGGAGTAGTAACTACAAGAATCTCAGAAAAGCCATTGGATGAAGGGACAGTAGAGGGACGAGATAGTTTAGGATATGGAAAAACTAATTCATGAAAGTCAACATGGCGACTGACATAAACACGACCAGATGTAGGATCTAGGCAACAATATCCTTTATAATTAGAAGCATAACCTAGGAAAATACATTGGATAGAACGTGGCTGAATCTTATGAGAAACTTGAGAAGATATATTTGGAAAAAATTCACAACCAAAAATTCGAAGAAAACTGTAGTCAGGGGGTGTATGAAAAAGCTTTTCAAATGGAGAAAGTTCTTTTAAAATGGGAGTAGGCAATCTATTAATAGTATAAACAGCGTAAAAAGAAGCATCAACCCAAAATTGAGATGGCAAATGAGCATCTGTAAGGATGGTACGCACCATTTCAATTATGTGGCGATGTTTTCGTTCAGCATCCCATTTTGTTGAGGAGTATCTGGGCATGATTTACGAAAAGAAATACCCGAGTTAGAAAAGTGTTGAAGCATAGCCTTATTATCAAATTCACCACCTCCATCACCATGAAAAGTTTTAATTTTAGTGTTAAAAGTGTTCTCCACGGGTTTTTGAAATGCACAAAAGTGCTGAAAAACTTCTGATTTTCTCATCATAGGATAAAGCCATGTAAATCGAGAAAAATCGTCAACAAATATAACATAATATCGAAAACCCAAGTTTGATAAAACAGGCAATTGCCAAACATCGGAATGAATAATATCTAAAGAAAAAGAACTACGGTGAGCAACTAAACTAAAGGACACCGTTGAGACTTTCCTAACTTGCACGAAACACAATTATTACTAAAGGAATTTAGTAGCGTAATAAGATTATGGTTCCTAAGACTTGACAAAACACGACTACCACTATGACCTAAACGACGATGCCAGATGTCTCCAGATTGACGTAGAGCAACAAATGCTTGAGGAGGAGAAGTCACAGACGAGGACGATAATGGATAAACATCACCTTTACTGGAAGCTTGAAGGAGAGGTTGCCCCGTTACCTTGTCCTTCACATAAACAGAAGAATCATCAAAGTCAACTTGACAATTATTATCCCTACATAACTTTTTAATAGAAATCAAATTATGGCGAAGTTGAGGAACATAAAATATAGACTGTAAGTGTAGAGGACGAGATGTAGAAGGCAACTGAGCATAGCCAATTTTTCAACGTTGAGCAATGTACCATTTCCTACCAAAACACGATCAGAGCCAGTGTAAGAGTTCTTTTGTATAAAATCACCTTCAGATGGAGTCATGTGAGCGGACGCGGCAATGTCAAAATACCAAGTAGGTCATTTGTTTCACCAACAGACATAGTAGCAAAAGACTTAGGAAGATCATTAGCAACAAAAGCATGATTGAAGCGATTTTGACATTGTAAGGCAGCGTGACCAGGATGCCCACAAATTTGACAAGCAATGGGTGAGGGTGAGGGACCTAAGATCCCACTAGATGGTGAGAATGTACTGCCAGATTGTGAATTATAAGGAGTGAGAGAAGCACCACCAATACCTGGCGGAGGCTGACCAGTAGGACCATTGCAAGCAAGATTATTTGGAGTAGATTGTTGTGAGGGACCTCGACCAGAGAAACCACGGCCCCTTCCACCACGACCTTGACCTCGAAAAGACGAGGATCTTCCCCGTCCACGATTACTTGAAAAAGGCGCTGCATTGTTGGACATATTAGAAGAATTTGATTGAACATTCTGGGTAGCAAATGCATGATGAGAGATGATAAAATCAGCTTCTTGAAAGCGTTGCAACCGTTGTTCATGCAAAAGGAGCTTAGAACGCAAATCTTCAAGTGATACATGTCCAGGGAAGTGAGTGAGGATACCAACCAGCGTATCGTATTCTTTTCCTAATCCAAGAAGGACATGATCAACGAAATCCTGGGAGGAAACTGGAGAATTTGTGGCTGCAAGTGAATCAACCAATTGTTTTGCCTCTCTTAAATATTGATCAATTGACAAAGATGTTGTCTTGTTCAAAGTAGTGAGTTGTCTCTTAAGTTCAATTGCTTTAGCTTGGCTAGCAACCATATATCTACGGTGTAAGGAAAGCCAAATATCACGGGAAGATGGTAAAAGATGGACGTCGACAAGAACTTCACGCGACAAGGTCGCAAAGATCCAAGAACGGACGCTTTGATCGATTTGAAACCCGCGAGCGATAGCTTGGATTCGGTTGTTGCGAACCAGTAGCGTCACAAAGAAGCGGGGTGGAGTAGGGATAGAACCATCGACAAAACCAAGCAAATCATGAGATATGAGAAGGGAAGTGAACTGAGTACGCCACGTGAGATAATCTTCAACAGATTGTAACTTAATTGTTACCAGGTTGGTGACATTAGGCGCTGCTAGTGCAGTAACAGAGTGAAAATTTGAGGCAGTAGTTAAGTCCAACGAACCAGCACATGAAAATATAGGTGGCGTAATAGGTGGCGTAATAGCAGCAGTAGGACATGGCAGCAAGCTAGGAGCAGAGAAATTGCTTGGTACTGATGAGGCCATGGAAGAAAGGGATGACAAAAGAGGAGGAAACGTTAAAGGGGGAGTGAGAAATCAGCAGTAAGGCTTGAGGATGGAATAGTGTTGTCAGGATTGGATATAGGAATAGAAGTATAGGGTGAAGATGATGCCATAGTAAAGAAAAATGGTGTGGGAAAGTACTGAATTTGAGGGGAAGGTTTAGAAGAAAATTCCAACAGTGTTGATTATGGTGAATGATGAGTTCCGTGACTGCTTAGAAGAAGGAATGAGAGAGGATTTTGCTGGCTAACCTGATACCATGATAGATTTCATTAAATGGCTCAGTGATTAGAGAGTCATTTGTTACTTGTATTTATATGATATGGATACATACATAACGATAAGTATATCACCAACAAAGATAAGTGTTAAGAGTCCATCACATATATGGAATAACTACAAATATGAGATAAATTCTTAGAGTCCTAATAATTACCACAAGTGTGATTGGTTACAGAAATGGATAAAAATCATGAAACATTAGACTCTAAATTTTACTAAAAACAATAAAAATATTAAGTTATATTTTCTATCTACTTAACATTTTAGTTATACAGCTATCTAATATGCTAGTAAAAAGTAATCAAAAAATTAACTGATTTGCTTATTAAAAAAAAGGGATTACCACCTTGGCAACACAAATTTAATCACTCCTGAAATATAAATATTTCATGGAGAATACATGTTCTATAACTTTGATTTGCTTATTTCTCTAAAATAAAATCTAAATGTAAATCTAACTAAATTTAATAGTACAAAATTATGCTGCAGTACAAAGCAATGGACTACACGTGTCCATGACAAGCATGGAGTAGAATAAAGAAGTACAACAAACCTCATTCCTAACAAAACACGGCCGTCTAATTTCGAAAATACAAAGCCGGCAGGGCCGGTAATCAACATCTCTAAACCGCTTTTGTCTACGTAAACGCCCGCGTGCCACGTAACTCTCCTACACATTTCTCAATTATTACTCTCTCCTCACACCTCTCTTCCTATATGGCTTGGGCGGCGCTCTCTTACCTCCAGTCAAACCCCTCGTTGACCGCGCGTCCCCTACCCCACCTCTCCTTTTAATCTCTTTTCCTTCCTCTATTATATAAGTAACTCTTACCTATCCTTTGTTCCGCACTCTGTTTTTTCACATAGAATATTATATTAAACAGTTTTGTGTATTTTCTTTTGAAAAAATGGCTGTCAAAAATAAGGTTAGTAATGGCGATCTGAAAGGAGGAAATGTGAAAACAAACGGAGTTAAGGAGATTCACTACAGAGGTGTAAGGAAGAGGCCATGGGGTCGGTATGCAGCTGAAATCCGTGACCCGGGCAAGAAGAGTCGGGTCTGGTTGGGTACTTTCGACACTGCGGAAGAGGCGGCTAAGGCGTACGACACTGCCGCTCGAGAGTTCCGTGGACCCAAAGCTAAAACTAACTTCTCTTTACCGTCGGAGAATCAGAGCCCAAGTCACAGCAGCACCGTGGAGTCCTCTAGCGGAGAGACTGGAGTTCACGCGCCGCAGCACGCTCCGCTCGAGCTGGATCTCACGCGCCGCTTGGGCTCCATGGCTGCTGATGGCGGAGACAACTGTCGTCGTGCTGGTGAAGTTGGGTGCCCGATTTTCCACCAGCAACCGACGGTGGCGGTTCTGCCAAATGGCCAGCCGGTTTTGCTCTTTGATTCTTTGTGGCGACCGGGAGTTGTTAACAGGCCTCAGCCTTACCATGTAACGCCGATGGCGATGGGGTTCAACGGCGTTAACGCCGGAGTCGGTCCTACTGTGTCGGACTCGTCCTCTGTAGTGGATAAGAATCAATATGATGGAAAAAGAGGAATTGATCTTGATCTTAACCTTGCCTACGGAATTTTAATGTTAACGATGATGTAGTTTGAGAGAGAGTAGAGTGTGAGAGAGACTAATGGTTGAATTTTGTATATACGTAGAAGAAACTGTTCGTTTTTTTGCAGCTGAGGGGTGGTTGTAATGTTTGTCTACTATTTGTTAACTCTAGTCCTTGTTTAGGCGTTCTGATTAATGAGAAAATTAGTGTTTTCTCCTTCCAAATATTTATCTCTTGTTCTTCTTCAGTCTATTTTTCAGCTAATCTAATTCTGGGTGCATGTTTTCCCCTATTATTGAGACTTGAGAGTTGAGTATATTATATTTCATTATCCCAGTACTTTAGATCTTCTTTCAGTTATTATTAAATGAAGGGAAGCAATGATGGATAAGGTTCGATAATACTGCAATTTTTCTCAACTCTTCCAGGCGTTTCAATTTTGTATACAAAATTTGACGGCACTAAATTACGGCACATGGATTAGGCCTAACAGGAATGGCAAGAGGTCGACGAAGCTGTGGTCGTATCTATAGGATGTAATAACAACGAAGACCTCGGTTACTGTTGAGATGGAGCCATCAAAAAGCCTGTATGGTGAAGTAAATATCGTGATATTTGAGGGAGGCGACACGAATGACAGTCAACAGATGAAGGCATTCTGGTTAAGCACCGATGGACAAAAGGAAATACTGATAATATATATAGAGGTAAGAAGATAAGAAAGAGGGACTTTCTCTGAGAGAGAAGGGAGAAGAACAAAAGACCAAGAAAAGGCTTAGATAGCAAAATAAATCTATGTAGTCGTGATTATTGAATCAAGGAAACCAGATCTCGTTATTGCCAATAGCATTTCATCTTTTCAGTTATTATCATCACATTACGAGATGATATGATAACAACACGATAAGGGATTCAAGAATTACTAAAGAAAAACAAGAAAATCAAGAAACGTGCGGAAGCTAAAAGAAAATAAAGAAACGAAAAAGGACGAAAAATTAAAGATAGATTGAATTCAAGAAAGAGTTTCTTGAATTCAAGAAGTCTATTCTTGAAGTTGAATCCTAATAACAACAATTAGCTAACAAAGAACTAATCACTTTTGGTAGAGAATTAAAACAAGAGATAGATTGTGAAACCCGATTCCTTAGAATAACAAAAATAACAATAAGCCTAAACTTATAACTTTTCTTGAATACCTAGAAGTGATCTAAGATTTCGAAAGAGTTTAAGCTTACCACCTTAAGTTGAGTCTTGAAGATAGAAGAATAAATTCAAGAGTAACCATACACAAGAGTGCAAAAAAAATATCACAATTTTTATTGATAATAGTCTGAAATAATCTAAGTCTAAAAAAAAAGAATACACCTCTTTATATAGAGAGGGTCGTCCTTTCAGTCAGTTCCTTTTCGGTTAGCTACTTAGGATGAATCACACAGAGGCGATCTCAAAGAATACAATATAACGAAATTCTACCTAACAAAAATAAGTAAATAAAGTCCTAAACTACTTTGGACAACAAGCCCAATTACCTTAGGAAAAGGAAAGTTCTAGGAAGCAAAAAACAAGTCATTCTTGGAAAGTAATTCCAAAAATATTAGTAAAAGGAAAACATGACTTTAACTAACTAGGAAAGCAATAAATATAGTCCCATAATATATGCAAATAAGTCCCAAACCAATCTTGGATAGAATCTTGAAATCTTGAAGTAAACTTGCAAGCAATTTGGCACCAACTTGCACTCAAAACTAGCATGACTATTGTACCATTCTTGTACATCAGTAAGTCCTTTTTATGCTATAAAAATGTGGCTTTATGTAAGACTTCATGGGCAGCAAGTTTGGACACATTTTAGGTGAGAGGATGATTCTTGGGATCTAATCCACCTCTTATTGGACATGAATTTGGACAATAAAATAATTATAACACCCAGATAACCCATATCCTTTATCCTTAAGCTCTTCCTCCCAACTAACAACTTCTTGCGGAAAGAGTTCAAATTTCATCCAAAGTGCAAGAAGCTGGGAGTGACACACATTTGTTTTGCTGACGATTTGTTAATGTTTTGCAGGGGTAACACACACAATCAGTTACTATATCACGATTGTAGGCAAGTGCAGAAAAGAGTTCTATTTATATTGTTGATGTAGCACAACATGTAAAGGAACAACTGATCGAGATTACTGGATATGCAAAGGGTAGTATACCTTTTAAATATCTGGGAGTTCCACTATCTACAAGAAACTGAACATTCATCGATGTTTGCCTCTGGCTGAAAAGATTACAAAGGAGTAAGATGCTGGTCACCTAGGATGCTTTCATACTCAGGAAGAATTCAACTAATAAAATCAGTGTTATTTGGAATACAAACGTATTGGGCTCAAATCTTCTTATTGCCAAAGAAGATCATGAAGATGATAGAGACTATATGTAGAACCTTCTTGTGGATTGACTCAACTGATTATTCCAGGAAAGCACTGATTGCGTGGGACAAAATATGTCAATCTAAAGCTACTGGTGATTTGAACGTGATTAATTTGAAGATATGGAACAAATCAGCTTTATTAATACATCTCTAGGCCTTGGCTATGAAGAATCATACTTTGTGGATTAAATGGGCTCATATCTACTACATAAAAAACAGGCTCATTGAAGAGTGTAAGCACCCCAAAACAGCAGCATGGGTGGTGAGGAAGATCGTAGAGGCAAAGGATGAAGTACAGAATCTGAGGTTAATTCATAACAATCTCATAAACACAGCGGACATCTTTGTGAAGCAAGGCAAATTTCAGATACATAAAGCTTATGTCCAATTGCAGCCTCAATTCTCCAAAGTAGATTGGAAGAGTATTCATCTACATGCACAGATTCATCTTAGGTTCAAGTTCCATCTATGGTTGGCTATCCACCAAAGAATAGCAACTGTAGATAGACTTGCCAAGTTTGGTATTCAAGTTCAGTTAGAATGTGTATTCTGTGCAAAGACTGTGGAAACATTTGATCACCTATACTTTGGTTGTCCAAGTACAAACAAGCTATGGGAAAGAGTATTGATATGGATGGGCAATGCGAGGCAGATAGGAAGCTGGCAGCATGAACTGAAATGGATAAGCAGTATGGCAAAGAGGAAAGATTGCAGGGTAGAAATGATCATAGTATTGTTTGCAATGGTTGTCTACTGCATCTGGTGTGAACGAAATTTGATGCGATTTAACAAAGGAAGATACAACATAGATGAACCTTGCAAGAAAATTGCAATACATATACACATACAAGGCAGAAAGAAGATCAAATGGCGAGCAGAATTGGAGAATTTAAAAAATATCCCTTAGTATAGCAACTTGTAATTAATGTCAGTATAGTATAGTTTTACTTTGTAATATGAATAGGAGATTAATGGTCAACATTAATCTGGGAATGTAAAGACAGTTTTTTGATGAAATAAAAGCCAAATTTTGTCAACAAAAAAAAAAGATGAACCTGCCTTAAACCTCGCTCTGATACCATTTGTTAGAACCGAAAAAATCAGGTTTCATGGGGAAGATAGCAAAGCAAACCTTCAACGACGTTAAATCAGATAACAAAAGAGAAATATACCAAAAGAGACACAAACATTTAACGTGGTTCGGTCAACTGACCTACGTCCACGACGGAGATGAGCAATCTACTATATAAAAATAGAGTACAATTGATGATCATTTGACCCAACTTAAACTTCAAAGAATTTCTATCTAGCTAAATGCATTTAAAGATACATATTTCACCTCTAAAATAAGACTTCTAACAACATGAGCTAGCATATGACATGTGGATGACAAATTGAAACTCTAAAGCCGAATCTCATCGCAATCCAAAAAAATTCTTAATTAAATGAACCCCAAATACATATTATTAATAATCATTGTCTCAAGGCCTGGAACTAAGTAGATCGATGACATGCAACTAAGGGCAATAGTCGTAAAAAAAATTGAAGCAGTCAGCAAGATGGAACAAAGAAGGGTGAAGGAAGATGAGGAGAACTAGAGGGAAAATCAAAGAAAAATATACAATCAATCAAAGCCCAAGACCCATCATATATTACACAGGGAAAGATCATGATATTTTCTGAACTCCATAAAAATACTAAGATAGAATAGTTTTTACAACAGATTAAATTGCATTGACACAATGTAAAATGTACGAAAATATATACTATAAGTTAAACCCTTAGAATTATATATAGGTTAAACACTAATACACTAAAAGCATTAAATTAGAAAGATAAATAGCCTGTTGTCACAACCCAAACCCCGCACTGATCGTGATGGCGCCTCTCGTGAAGACGAGGCCAGCCAACTAACCCACTCGTCTTTTTCAAAAATAGTTAAACATAAATAAACAGCGTAAGTATGACTTAATAGTATTAGTCAGCGGAAAGCCAACCCAACACAGCCCTAACCGGGGTGTCACAAGTCACGAGCATCTATCAAAATGTAAATCCACTACAAGGTCTAAAATGTACAAAAGCAGAATAATGAACAAAAGAGAGAGACATCGTGCTGCGAACGCTGACAATCACCTCCTTAACTCATATAACTCTGCCTCTGATCGGCCCAAAACCCGCTACCGGGTGAATAGATACCTGCATTTGCACACGAGGTGCAGGGAGTAAAGTGAGTACTCCAACTCAGTGAGTAATAAAGGTAAATAACAACTGAGCAGTAAGAAATCACGTAAAGCAACCAACATGCTGTATAGAAGCAGGGTACAATCCTTTGAGAAAAATAGTGAAGCTGTGAAATCTTTGGAAATCTCTTGGCTCAGTTTAAATCTCTTTTTAAAATGATCTTTCCAACAGTTACGAAATGATTTCAAAGCAGTTAGTGCCGATAAGCACAGAAAAACCGTCCCTCGGGCACAAATATCACAGTATAACAGATAAAAAGGCAAGTAAATATGCAAGATGAGCATATAAAAGTTCGCCCCTCGGGCAATATCTCAAAACAGTACCAGCCCCTCGGGCTCACTCTCAGAAACACTCTCAGTCCCTTGGGCTCTCTCTCTCAGATCACTCTCAGAACAGTATCATATAGTAACCGCTGCGGCGTGCAGCCCGATCCATAACTCGCTGCGGCGTGCAGCCCGATCCATATATCATCGACGACACTCACTGGGGGTGTGCAGACTTCGGGAGGGGCCCCTTACGGCCCAAGCGCAATATCAAGCCACCTCGTGGCATATAAAATAAGG